ACACAAGCAGTAGCTAAATCAGTCTTGGTGAGTAGGCGGCCATGGAATACCCGCCATCTCTGGCTACTTCACTCAAATTCCCATTGTGCCAAACACTGCAGTGGCCAATAACGGAGGCACATTGACACTTTGTGGAGTTATTCTGTTGTGTCTTCGCTGATGAGTTACAATAGGTTAAAAAACCTTCATATTTTCATGTTCACGCCTATAGGTCTACCCACATGCCTCTTCTCCAAACTTTCTTGTCCCTGATCTTCTCATCTTTCTCCTTCCAGGTCTTTGGTTAACCAGCCAAGCCATTAGCTACTGCCTCTCAGTCTACCTTGTTGATCTGCTCTAGCAAAGATACCACATCTGGCATAGCAGCTACAATTGGAGCTACAACTTGGTCAAACTGTCATCCTCCAGGATCCATCCGTAGGGAGCAGACTAGCCAATTAAATAGGTATGTGATGGAGACCACCATTCTTATATCTCTTAGGTGTTTTAGTGTGGCACTAATATCTCCCATGTCCCCAAGATGCAATATTGCTATTGACTTATTATTGTGGCTGACAGTAAGGGGACAATTTCAAAGCTTCCACTTAGTCTTCCTTTCTATAATAGCTCTTAACCCATAGTCCAGGGGTGGGGAACCTTTTTTTCTGCCAAGGGCCATTTGAATATTTATAACATCATTCACGGGTCTTACGAAAGTATCTACTTAAAAATTAGCCTGCCATATTTGGTCAGACATTTAATTGAACTGATTGAATTTTGAGTCCTGCCTGTGGTTGCCTTAGCAGGGACATTCTGCACCCCTGCTACAGACTAAGGAACCACTACAGAATTTTCCCCAAACACTAAGTGTGTCCATAACAGTTAGATATATTCAGGGATGAGGAAAATCACCTCTAGGTGGACCTGTGGACCCAGTGGACTCGCTATGAGCTAGACATGGACCAAGATTGAATTTATTACCCAGCTCCCTTATGCTCCCACTGTAATAGGGACAAATGGGCATGATGATGTTTGCCCATCAGTGTCAACTTGGAAACTGTGCCTATTAATCCTTAAAATATTGGATATTTTCCATTTCCCAGTGTATGGTTACCCAAATAAGTCTCTTTGGAGAAGCTGTGGGAAGATCATTAACATACACTTGCTGTGGTGTGTAGGGTCCTTCCTCTTTCTGTCAATCAATGAGTTCTGGGTCTGAGAACTGGCTCATGAGCAGAAACTGAACAAAGAGTTCATAACTTTTTATTGTGGTGGCTGCTCTCAGTCTCCTGATCATCCATTTTTAATTTCTTCTGATTGTAAGATTGGGCTATGCCCTTACTGACAGACCATCTACCTGGTTCCTACTGGTTCCATTAACCGTCTCTATAGCGCTCTGCAGATCAGAAACTAAGGCTGCCACCCTGACCTTGCAGTTAGTTCATTAAGATAATTTATCCACTTTGTTCCTGCCAGTTAAGTGCCACAAACTGGCATCTATTATTTCAGGATCTCATCCTCCCCACTGTTATCAGGGTACCCAACTCGATAACATCATTTCCTACTGAAAGTCCTGGTCTTCGGAAGACAGCCACTACTGAGCTGGCTAAATGCCCAGTGGGGGCTTCAATCTGGGAACTCACGTTCTTATGATCTAAGTACTACAATTTTTAAAAACTTTTTTGACAATTTTCTGTTCTACTTTTTTTTTCTTTTCTTCCTTGTCTGGAACTCCTACTGGTCAGAGAGTGGATTACCTGGAGTAATCCTCTAACTTTACTTTTTCTTTTCTTCTCCATCTTTTTGTCTTTTTTTCCTACTTTCTGGGAATCCTCTCAACTTTCTCATACATTCCTTCATTAAATATTCAATTTTATACTATTTAAAAATATATCCAAGAGCTTCAGCTTGTTCCCCAAATGCTCCTTTCTTGCTCCTGTTCTTGCTCTTAGCCTGGGCTCCCTGAAAGCAGAGCCTGTGAAAAGGCTTATACACAGGCAGTTCTGAGGAGAATGTAGTCCCAGGAAGGGGTAGAATATGGGACTCAATGGCAAAGGAGGAAAAGTTAAAAAAATAATAAAGGATCCAGGCAACTGTCTCTCAATCCCATAGGACTGAGAAATCTTTTTGAAATATTTTCAGAACTCTAAGGTACAAACAGGAGAAGTAACTAGTCCACTCAGGGGTCTCGGAATGGCGTTAATCTCCCCTCACCTCCAAACTGCATACGGGAGTGCCAAGGGGGTTCCTGCAACATCCCAGCTGGGGTGGCAGAGAAGTCCAGGGTAGAGTGGGGTAGGAAGCCTGGCTGCCGACAATCCAGGAGCTGTGGGCAGGAAGTGGCTGAGGTCCCAGCAATGAGAATGCATCTTTAGGGTCATCTCCTGGCTCCTAGTTCAGTGCCCCTGCCCTCAGCTGTGCTTGTACCTCTCCTGCAGGGGACAGTAAGAGCTACAGCAATTGCTAAGGTTTGTGATACGGTAAAAGGGAGAGACCTCTAGGTATTTCTCCTATTTTCACTCTCACTAGTACCTCCAATTCCTAAAATCTTTCCGGATTCTGCAGTGCAAATCCACATACCTCTATGGTTATTCTACTGCCAACTTAAATTTCAGCTTTCTCAGGTTTGCTCAGTTATATACCACTCATTCATAAGTTTTCCAGTTTCCGAAGTTTTATAGTTATCACCTCTCTGACATTTTTTGTTCTTTTGGGTTTATTTTAAAAAAAAATTCTTTACTGTTACTTTAGTGTGGTCTGAGAGAACACAAACATAACTGTGTTTAATAATGTTTAACTGGAAGTTTCTGCCTTGTTACTTCCCCAAATATTAAAAAGTTTTAAAAAGTTATTTAATATCCCCTTATTGTGTACCATCCATGAGTAAATGCTGTAAGTGATTTATAATGAGAGCCATTAAATAACTCACTCTCTCTTTTGCCCTTTCTGCTGTTGGCTCTGTGCTGTTTTCCAAACATCTCAAGCATGCCCTTACATCTCTGGGCCATGCCAATGCTATTTCCTCTGTCTGGGTTACTTTTGCCCCACAAATCCTGACTCTTTCCTTACTTCTTCCAGGTTTTCACTCAAATGTTACTTCATCAGAGATGCCTTCCTCTAGTGACTCTATACATCACAGTAACAGCCCAGCTCACCCCCTACCCTACCACTCCCTATCCCTCTTTCTCCAGCTTTCTCCTACTTATCACCTGACATATATTTGTTTGAGGCCATTTAAATTTATGCTTTAATATAAACTATTTTGTTCCCTGCTATATCCCAGTACCTAGAACAAACCTGGCACATAGCTGATGCTCAGTAAATATTTACTGAAGGAAAAAGGAAGGGGAAGGGCAGGGGAGAAAGAAGGAAAGGAGGAACACTGATTGGTTGGGCATTATATTCCATAGAATATAATGGAAATAAAACCCTTTTAACTGTTTCTTTAGATTCAAGTATGATCTTGCCCTGAGATTTCCCTAATTTTGGCATATCCTTAACAAACAAACTTAATCTTTCCATAAATTTCCCCCCCCAAAAAAACAAAGAAAAAAGTGACATGAGGAAAATACTGCCAGGCATTGTCTGTGGTACTGTATATAGCTCCATGAGAACAGGAATCACCTGGTACAATAGGCACTTAAAACATTTGTCAAATGACTGAAGACCAAGGATCTCTCTGAATGTTCTGTTTTGTATAAAATTCCTCTACGCCTTGTACACATCTGTGAACTGATAGAAATCCAAAAAAATCACCAACTGAATTTCCAGTTGCCTCAACAGAACGAGGCTGAGTGTTAGATTAATTTTATTTAGAAAAAATAAGTTGACTTTGCTTACATCCCAGAGCTCTTGGAGTAAAATTCACACATGCCACAAATCTAAGGAAATGTTTCCAAAAAGAACATTTGGGGAAGGAAGACTAGAACTGTAAGGAAAACCTTGGTATAACTGAAGAAGAACCCCTAATGGTTCACAAAGTAAGGCCAAATTAAAAATGTGGGCCAATTATGAGAAATCAGAATAGGAGTGTTAGGACTTAAGAAAATAGGAGTGTTGGGATGAAACAATCAAGTGGAGCCCAAAAGGGTTTTGTGTTCAAAAGCAACTAAGTATTTGCTGAAGTTATTTTTCAATATCTGAGCAAGGAGGGATCAGATGCAAGGTTTAAACCTATATGTATAAAATAGATTATACAATTTTTAGAAAAAGATTTGTCATTTCCCACTCCAGAACTCATCCTACACAATGTGTTATGAGATACACTACTCTTGATTGTGAAATAATTGAACTTTAGAAGAATAATTCAGTGAGTTTATGAATACAGTGGAACTTCGGTTCTCAAACTTAATTAGCTCCAGAAGCTATTGGAAGAAGATCTGTTAGAAAACTGAATCCTTTTTCCCATTAGAAATAACGTCAATTGAATTAATCCATTCCAGACCCCCAAATGATTCCATTTTAACCTTTCTTAATTGTCTGTGATCGTTGTTTCATGAGCACCTTCACACCCTTGGCAACATCAGCACTCTTTATGTTTTAAAATTGTGCTAATTGTGTATTTCACCATGCCATACTCGGCAGCCATATCAGACACGTGAATACCTATGTCATACTTTGCAATTATTTCTTTTTAAGCTCTATTTGTTGTTCTCACAACTTGCCTTTTCACTTTGCTGCTATCACTAACCTTCTTAGGACCCATGGTGACTTACTGTTGTATTTAACAAAAGCAAGAAAACACAAAAATATCCACAGCACCATCTCCTGAGATGTTAACAACTCGAGGTTTAGTGGTAAACTGACTAATACTCTTGAATTCTCTCTTTTGTTTGTCTCCTAAGAGACTCGTGACAGGGTTGTTGAATCGAGAACTGAAGTTTTTGTTCGACAGCCGAGACATCTTTTTATGAACAACTTGGTCAAGAACAGAATTGTTCGAGATCGGAGATGTTCAAGAACCGAGATTTGACTGTATTAAAAACAGAAGTATAAATTAAATAAATCATCATTAACAGCTGTTTAACAGTGATAAAATATACTTTTATTTACTTTGCTGAGTAAGAGGTCGTAAAAATAAAATTATTGCTAAAATAGATATCAGGCAAACAGAAAGGTGCTGTAGAAGTCCAGTTACCTTGGAGTTTATTTAAACTAAGAGGAAAAGGTCATTATGTTTTCATGCAATACATACTTGATTCTTTAAATAACAATTGTGACAAATGACAGAAAGAATTAAGGAATGCTGTACTTGTGATCCATACAAAACACCAATATTTTGGGTTGTACATAATTTAAAGAAATGTTTCAAACACTTTCAAAATACTGTTGTAGCCAATACATAGAGGCATGCCTTAGGTGGGCATAGGAATGCAGTTTAGAAAAGAAAGAAAAATATCACACTGGAACTACTCAATTTCTTCAAAATCACTGAACAAGAAGAACCGCCATACTGATTTTATACAACTTCTATACAGTACCTTGACTTAAATCCAAGAGCAAAAGTTAAGACTCTCCTCTATTTTTGGTAAACAACTGCATGGTAAACTTAGATGACTTTTCCCCCTGGATTTTACCTGGGAGTGGCCTTTTAAATTTTTTTTATTTAAAAGAGGGCAGATTTGGCACTTTTATACTGATGTCACCAATGTTTATATTTCTTGGGATCTCAGGAAGATTCATATTCTTTACAGCTGATACAGCACGGGCTGGAGCTCCCGCTAAGCCAGCCTGTATACAGAAGCAAATAAAAGAAAAAGAAGATGTACAACTCAGGTGTAGCTCATCAAAAAACACTAAAAATGGAGGATAATAGTAAAAGATTTTCATATAACAAGCTTAGAGATCAGATGGTAAGTCTGAATTGATATGGGATGGTTATTTAGAAATACTAATCTATAAAGAGAAAACAATTGACACATTAAAAAATACAGTGAATACATGCAATGATAACAATGTAAAGATTTAAATACAAATTAAACTGTGCTACCTGGATATTACACACAATATTCAAATGAAAAAAACTAAATCTTCACCTATATTTTGCTGTAACTGACATAAGATATAAGCATGAAGCATAATTTATATTTGTTTTTTTATTAAACATCTCTTACAACAATCATGATATATTTTGGATTTTTTCTTTTAAAATGACATTTATAATCAATATATGCTGTGAAATAAAAACTAAAATTAATAGATCATGCTTGTTTAGTTTCTTTACTTAGGGCTAATGCCTTAAAACATTTTAAAAACAAAAAATTTAAAATTATGGTTTTAAATTTTGGAGGGTATTCTAAACTTTTAAAAGGAAGTTCTAGAACATTTTTTTAAAAAGCAGGCTTTTAAAGTAAAGCCTCAATCCAAAGAGAACAGGTCTGCCTAAAAATGAAACTGCAACAAGAGGATCTTTCCAATCTTAGATGCATTAGTAAAGATATAGCAATTAAAAATATTCTGTCATATCAAGTAGATTCAACAATATACGTTTAGTTTACAAAATACAAATTTAAATAGCATAAATGCAAAATATAGTATATATACATATACATATATAATTTAAAATTTATAACTAAAATTTAAAACTACCAGTACCATTAGTGTACAATATTTGGCTTTCATCTTAGTAGGAAAATTTATAATTCTGCAGTAATTTTGAAAGAAAATATGGTTAAAAATAAAAGAAAAATTAATATATATCATTTTTTTCAAGTAGCTACATCAAGTCTTCATATTTTTAAGGTTTATTTTATGTACCAATTAGATTTCATCAGTTTTTATTCAGCCTACATAATAAAGCCAACAAACATATCTCAATTCAGTGGCATACATTGTCTTGCATAAAAGAAGACAAATAACAAAAACAAATCTTCCACTTTGACTAGATTACATATATACAAGGGTTGGCAAAAGTAGGTTTACAGTTGTTCATATGGAAAATAATACAATTAATAAATAATAATACAAGAATAAACTTTCGCTAACTCACAACTGTAAACCTATTTTAGCCCACTCTTGTATAAGAAACAATATTCATGTAATTAAAGACACTAGTTTTAAAGTCCCATTTTGTAATTTTAGGTTTTTTTCTCTCATATAATCCTACCTCTTTTGTTAATTAGAAAAATAATAATAAAGCTGTTACCTGAGAAAAATCTTGACTGATACAAAATAGGCCAGTGTAAACTATTTGCTGAATAAAGGATACAAACATTGTTAAGCAATGAAATAAAAGCCATGGATTATCAAGTCAGAATTGGAAATAATAGAAAAATCAGTAAAATAGGATTAATAATAGATGTAGTCCACACAGGCAATGATAAGGGTGATATGGATGAAATACTCCATACCCAATTAAAGACTTAATAGGGCTCGGACTTCAATTTTTGTAATTTAATCGGGGTTAGCTATTTTTGATGTATAACTAAAAATTTGACCTCTACATTTATACCTACCTGAAGTAATGTGGTTTTTATTGTACCCCACTTCTCTCCAACTTCCCCCCAAAACAAAGATATATATGAGTATTACTTAGGATAGCATAAATCATATTGAAAAGGGTCTTTAAGCTGATCATTTCAAGTTCAATGTCTAGCTACCAAAATTCAGAATGGTTAAGGATCAAAGAATAATTCAGTTCAAATAGCTTCACCATCTTATAGGCTCTCTTCTTTTTACTAGAAGTATGTTGTCTGCCAAGGGAACAAAAATTATTATGCAAAATTAAAGATATCCTGGAACTAGTATCATTTTTCCAGGTAGAAGAATTTTATAATTTTTTAAATAACAAAACTAATTTGCCACTATTTTTACTTTAAAATTTCTATACAGAGTACAAATGATAAGTAGGCTATAGAAAAATATTGATAAGATATTCACATATAAATATTTTAAAAGGCATAAATTATTAAGAGGATTTTGTGAAAAAGAGTAAAGGTAGATATGTGTGTGTTTTACTAGAAATTATGATTTATATTTATAAACAGTTAAAGTAATTGTTTTCGGTATTAAACTAAATACAATTGTCCAGTAGCCTTCTTTTCCATATACCCTATATCATGAACAGCTACACTGAATTTAAGCAAAGAAAATGAGAATAAAAATGCAGCTTGTTAAATTTCATTAGATTAAATCATTTCTTTGTGACCAAAGATGGCTATTAATGAGAATATATAAAGTGAATAGAGCAACTGATTTAAATAGTATATGTGTGCCAAGTTCTTATTACATAAAACCAAAAGAAGTTTCTAAGTACAACAAATTACAATTCTTCTAAACATAAGCAGCAAGCCATAGACATGCAAAGGATGGTAACTATTCAGAACACGCAAATGAATAAAGAGAATCAAATTATTTCTCAAGCATGTTCAATACTTTTGTGTAGAATGTCATGAATTTAAATGGTACAAAATTTTAAAATTATAATGTGCATGTCAATTAAGTTTTAATTAAAGAAATATTTTAATAAATCGGATTCTACAGAATATAAAATATAAGAAAAAATAAAAGAAGGGCTGTTGATTACTAAGTAGATGCTTAAATGAGCTATCAATGTTTATATATAAAAACTTAGAGGTTAAAAAAAAAAACTTCATGTTACCAGGTAGTCAACACCCAAATTGCTATAAAATTAATTTCATTTTCAGAATTCCATGAAAGTGAAGTCTGAAACATTTTATAAAAGAATAAAATGTAAAAGAAGTAATTTGCCATTAGAAAATCAATTTGCCAACACAGCGGTGTAAAATAATTTTTATCTTAGTTAAGCTTTTTTTCAGTAAGATATATTCAAGGCAACAAGATAACTTTTGCTAACACTCAAATTTATAGAAATTAAGTTTACCCAACTTGTTAGTAGTTTATACACTTTAAAATATAAAAATAAGATATTTCTGACAGTACAACATAGTTCTTAAAGATTTAAGATTACACAGTTGACACAAGCAGAAATAAAAAGAATGAAACCCTACTGGAGAAATAACTTGTTTCCATCTACGCTATTTTACTCGAGCACCACCATGGCAAGGTAAACTGCAGCAACTCCACTAACAAAAACAAATATATGGATCTAAAGCCGTTAAGAGTATGAATTAGATGAAAGAATGAAGTACAGTATATAAAAGAATGGTCATGTTTTCTCTCCCATGAGATTAAATAAATTAATAGAATTAAGAGAAAGAAAACAAAATGAAGTCTGCAAGTATACCAAAATGAGGCCAAACAGATAGAAGACTTATACAGACATACTCTTGGAAATTTCAAGCACTGGAATCACAAAGATAGTAATGGATGGATATGATTTTTTTTATTTTGTTTTTAAATTGCCAGACCCAAAAATAAACAAAATATGTGCAAGCAAAACCAAAAAAGCAGCATTACTAAAATATATTTCAAAAAATCTGAAAGCTCCCTTTTCCTCATGCAGTAGCAATTAACTTTCTTGAATCTAAATATTTATTTCATCTAAGACATAAAATACCAACCTACCATGTTAAAATATTTTTTCAAGCTTGAACTATAGCATTAAAAGATGGTAGTTGGAATAATTTGTATATACTAAAACCTTTACCCACCCTTCCTGCTGGAAGTTGGTATATGCGCTTTCAAAATTTTGACCTAACAGCAAAGTGAAAGAACATCAACATTAATAAACACAGTAGTCAATGGTTTCAGACTCAGAATCATTAATGAAATAATGGCAGATTTTGAAACATGTTTTGAATGAAATAGAAAATGTCAATATTTTCATTTCTGAATGTGAGGTAGAATAACTTTTAATCTTGGAACTTATAATAGGCTTGCTCTTTGCTTTAAAGGCAGTGCTTTAATACTGCAATTATAACAAAGAGATTAGAAATACTGATGATAATCCTCTAGTGAGCAAGAACATAGCATTTTATAAAATTTTTTATCAACATTAGAATATTTACTAATTTTAAAACCTTCCAAACTACTAATCATTTTCTACAATCTTCACTTATGGCTTTAATTTCTAGCACAGGATTTGCCTGTGTGAAATAAATATAGCAGACTAATGCCATTCATGGATTTAATATAACTAGTCTTGACCATTACAAGTGGCCTCAGGGGTCCTCACCATAATTTTGTAGAAGAACAGAATAACTGTGCATGTCAACATAGAGAGGCAGAACCAACTCACAGGCTGACTTTCCACATCTGTTACTTAGGCCCACTTTTCTTATTCTATACTCTTTAAAAATAGATACTTGATTTTAAAAAATAAAAAAAGAAAGCTAATTACTAGTTCTAGGTATAGAAGTTAAGAGACCCAAGTGGTTGATGGTTCTTTGTTAGAAAATAGCAATTTAACATAAATTAAAGACTGAAACATAGAAATTGGCAGTGATTTGGATCAATGGAATGAATGAAACCATTATTTATTTTCTACTGCAGGGATAAAGTTATATGGATCTAGGGACCAAATGTGGTACCCCCAGCTTCATGATAAAACCCAGGATCTGGGATAAGAAATTATAAAGACACTTGTCTGTTGCTGTTTCTCAAACACATCCAGAAAGTAATAATTTAGTGGTTAAAACGCTATGCTGAATTCTCAGTAATTACCTGAATTCTCAGGTAATCTAACTTTTTAAGGTTATAATTTTTTTTCCTCCACAGGGCTCAATAAAGTATTTTCATTTTGAAAATTTTAAATGGGGTCCTATAACCATATTCATTTTTCCTGAAAGAGCTTTGTACAAAAAAGCTGTTGATCATCTCTACATGGAAATGTTTAAAAAGTAATTCACACAGTTAATTTGTGGTGTGAAAAAATGTACAGAAAATGCCAGAGAAAATTTAGTTTTGTAAAGCTAGGAGTTTATTAAAAACATTTCTAATATCTGCCAATATGCTTTGCAAAAATAAGGTTTATAATATTTTACGGAGTCTTATAATGACATGTTTGGATATCAGAAAGTTGCTACAGTGGAAATCCATTTTATTTTTTAAATACATTTAATTCCTTTTTTTAGAGCATTTAATTCAATTTTAATAATTTCTGATTTTGTTTTTTATTGGCTACTTTTAATATGCACCTGATAGTTAAAACTAGTAAAAGCAATTCTGTTAAGACTTTAAAACTGAAAACCATTCTCGGGGGAAAAAGTACTATTTAACAGTCACTATTCTAAGCCTTCATTGCTTCCCACTTTGTATGCAAAATTGTGAAAGTTCAGCTTTTGGTTTTCAAATTCACAGCTTCCAAAACCTAGCAGGCAATTTTATGTTAGCATCCTAATTTAGACAGATGGGGGGAAAATCTGTGAGAGTTAAAGTAAGATTGGTTCTGCCATATGATGCTCAAAATAAACTCTAAATTTAACATACAAAGTAAATTGTCATTTCTACAAAATGTAATTTGTCAGTTAAATGACAATGTTTAAAAATAAGAACAAAAAACTTAAACTTCCCTTTCACAATGCAGGCAGACAAAACAGAACAAACATGACATCAATGATACACTAGAAAAATACACTAAGTCCAATAAAAGATGAAGAAACTACAAGGAGAAATTAGAATGAAAAATAGGCTACAGGGACTATATGGGTTCATTAACACAAAGAATTTTTGAGTCTGGCCTAAATAATTAATTGCCTTTGACATCATTTTGCTTTCCCTTTTGTTAAAGTACATTTTTCTCAAAGTCAGCAATACCTTGTCTACCTGTCCTGTCTGGGAGATTGAAAGATAAAGGTCTGTAAGAGAGAAGAATGGAAAGAGCTAGAAAGATCAGGATGTTCGGAAAAAAAGAGGACTAACTTTTAAAAAGTAGTGACTAAATTCAGAGCCATTTATTCATCTTAAAAATAACATGAAATACATAAAAACTAACAAGTCTCCCCAATCCCACCCATCCACCTACACCCACGGGAGTCCTTTCGTTCCTAGCAGATTTCTGGGTACCTCTTAGACTTTCCCCAAATCCCACCAACTTCCCAGCTTAACCCCTCCTTCCCCAAGATCCCACTGTTACAGCAAACCATTTTTCTATCAAAGCAGGAGAGATGAAAATACATTCAGAGCATATCTTTGCTGCTTCTCTTTAAAGATCTGGGTGATCTTTGCTCCTACCTGTCTAGGTATTGGGAATTAAACTGGTTCGCTTTTGACTGTCACTGAAAATACACTACCCATTAACCCAAAATAACAAAATCTTCGATATCTGACAAAGTAAAGTCACCTAGATAGATCCATGTTATATTTTAAAAGCTGTACCTTAATTAAACCCAGGCTGATTTTTAAAAGATAAATGCTATTCTAAATATCACTTAAATTAATTTTAAAAATATGATAACCAGGTCTTGTTATCAATCATGACACTCTGGATTTTAATTAAGCCTTTCTTGGTAAGTTTTTGCTTACATAATAAATTTTAACTAAAATTTAGTAAGATTCAGATTAATAAAAGCATATAGCTTGCTTTCAAGTAATTTTTGGTTATTCTGCAGTCATGTTTGGTAGATATAACATCAATTTAAGTAACATGGAAATTGAACCCATGTGAAACATTTTGACATTTCAGTGTGTCTGAAATAAAGCTGGTAGACTTCCAAACATACTTAAAATATATGAAAATTACTGAAAAATTACAAAAAGTCAACATTTCTCAACACAATTTCTTAAAATATGATCAGGACTAAATGGCATCACTTTGACTCTAAATCCTTCTTTATAACTAATCAGCAGACATCACATATACAGAAACACTTGCTAAACATATGTTGTGGTTTACACCCAATCAGATTTAAAATATACTTTCTTGTAAAGGAGAAAAAGAAAAACTAATCTGGTAGCAGATTAACAACTGACTATATGTTAAAAGATGATCAGTGGATGAAAAATGGGAGTATTCACTAATATTCAGAACCATTTCAAATAGCATGTTACAGTATTCTTATAACTTTCTATCAAAAATGTAAATTCTGCATTTTACTGCTCTTTATAGATTAAAAAACTGCTCATTAACAAAATATCACCGAATAATCTAAAAGCAAATATCCATTACGCAATTATTATAGGTCCTTTATGATGTTTGTCAATATTATATACATCACACTGAGGAGAAAAAGAAAAAAAAAGGACACCACCAATGGAAAGGAGTTAAATATCTTTCCAGAGAAAATTCCAGACAAGAAGTCTAAATTTATATCCATTGTTTTGTAACACAAAGTTTAACAGATTATGTAAATTTCAAATGATCATTTTAATACTTTAAAAACTACAGCTTAGAGTTTATAGTAAATCATTTACTATTATAATATATTGCAAACCAACCACACTAAATAATATTCTGAGTTGTTTTCCTTGTCCTAGTTAAATCTAGTTTATATTTTCCCCTTTCAAAAACCAATATTTTAAAAATTGGCTATAGAACACACAAAATACAGTTACTTAAAAGAGTCATAATTTTAAACTCTTCACTATTATAAGTCTCTCCATTGGAAAACCAATAGGGATGGAAGATTGAGATAAGAAGAGATTTTTAATAAAACATTGGAAAATGTTTTTATACAAAGCTTCAACTGTTTCTAACCCTCATATTTCAGATATATCCATCATCCTGTGTTTTATTCAATTCTAATGAGCATAGTATTGTATTAAACTGATCCTTTAAAGTGCCAAAAAGATAATAATTCTTCAGAACTCACCTGTTGTAAATTAGTGCTAGCATATTATAATATCTTGCTGCTTTTATAGTAATATTTACTTTATATGAAATGCCTGAACTTGTACTAATAATTACAAAATATATCTTCCTAATCTGAGTTATGACTATAAATACCAAAGGTAAGAGTATCCTCAAACAAGCATGGCACTGAATGAGATATCGAGACTATTATCTATCTAAGCTTTTGCTACAGTAATAAAACAAAATATTGTGAACTTGAGTGGCTCTGCTGTAGTACCTGTTACTAATATTCAGCCTAGTACATGAGGGAAGAGTCATTAAAATTCTCAAGTAGGGTTTTGTATAATGCTAAAATGCTCGTTGGTCCTCATTCACCCAATCTCACCGCACAAAGTTAGCAGTGCAAAACTAACCAAATCTTTCTCTTATAGAATGCAATAAAAGCCATGAATACATGTATCAATGAATAAAACTTATGACTTAGCAAACTGGTCAGTGACCTTTGGGAAGGATCCAGAATTAAAAGATTAAGGCGTTGAATTTCCTTTTTCAATATGTACTCAGACTTACTAAGCACCTATTATACTTAATACTTCCTCATGAGAATTCCATTGCCTTTTCTTTCCTCTTCCAGAAATAGTTTTGTAATGGTTAAACCTATATATCTTTAAACTATAAGTTCTAAGATTTCCTTGATAATTACTGACTGTTTATATAGCAAATATTTATTCCATTTTCAAATAAATAATTCCTTTTTTAAGCAATAAGAATTCGGAATTGTGTTAATTACCCAAGATAGGTATGACCGTGGCTAAAAGAAGGATATACAACTATTTGGTGGACAGTAGTCACAGAACATTTGGCATACTAAAATTTGTATATTCCATTTTTAAAACTGAATAAGCATATCAGCTGTACCTAAAGGGTGATGCTAAAGGACAAACAGTGAAAGATACAAATCATGCATAATTTATGACCATTTTTACTACTTTCATTAACTAGAGCACTTTCCATTCTTACCTCAGATTTCTCCAGTTTATTTTGTGCATCAATTTGTGTAACAATCTCATTCATGTTGGTCTCCAATACCATTCCTCCCATCACCATTTCTGCAAGAATATTGTGAACCTAAAGGACAAAAATAATACACACACATAAAGAAAACTCACTACAAAAACATTTCATAATTCCAGTGGGTTTTGGGTTAAATACTGCTGAGTCTGCTTTATAAGTATGAGTTGTAAAATAAAATAATTTGAAATGAAGGCTTATTACTCACTTTCATCACTACTGTGAAAGTCTTAGGTAGTTATATGTAACCTCTTTAAGGCTTAGTATAATGGGCTGTAAAACAGAGATAATAATAGTGCCTCCATTATAGATTGCTGGAAAGATTAAATGAGGTCATTCACGGAAGTACCCAAAACAAAATAAATGATCAATAAACATTAGCTACCTTTTATTTTTTTAAATCTTCACCCAAGGATGTTTTTACTGATTTTTTTAGAGAGAGGAAAGGAGAGGGAGAGACAAAGAAACACCAGTCAGTTGCCTCCTGTATATGTCCTTACGGGGGAGCAAACTGGCAGCCTGGGTATGTGCCCTGACCAGGAATCAAACCCGAAACCCTTCGGTGCATGAACAACGCTCCAACCAATTGAACATCACTGGCCAGGGCTAGCTACCATTTTTATCGTATCAAGTTTAATGCTAAAAATATTATCTACAAGAATCTACAAGATTCTTAGCCAATAATTAAGTTGTTTTATGCTCAAGGTACTTAATGAAGCTATGTGGCACTACTATAAGCTCTAGATTGGAAAAAAAAAATTTTATTTTTATTGTAGGCACTTTTTAATAATGCTTTTACACCAAAAGTCCTCTCTCTATATATGAAACACTGAAATTTTTTATCAAACACATCTTATGACTAAAAATAGTATCTTCCATTAGGGAGAAAAAATTTAACACAGATGTTTTTCCATAAGGTATTGGGTCAAAAAAACACCAATTCAAAGCTGAATTAAGTTCTACTGAATAGTATACTCTGCTATAATTAAAAAAAAATAATGTGGCATTAAGAACGGAGACCCTGAATTTAGATAGGGTCTAATACTGACTCTCCCACTTATTAGTTATATGCCTTTCAGCAGTTACATGACCTCTCTGTTACCTTACCTGTAAATTAGAGATAGAAATAGGATAGGCATCTCATAGGATTATCATAAGAATAATTCATGTAAAGTACTTAGCAGAGTACGTTTAGTTATTATAGGGTAATTTCATTTTTTTAAACAAAAGCCTTTTATGGTTAAATATAAAATTATATTATCTGATTTTCATTCTATTATAAGAGTTCATGCAAATGTATTCATGATTTTTAAAATATCCCGTCATTATTGACTAATTTTACAAAACAAATTTTGCTTGGGGCGATGGGTGTATGATAGTGTGCAGACGATGTTTGAGTTGTACACTTGAAACATATGGTTTTGCAAATCAATGTCACCCCAATAAATTCAATTAAAAAAAAATTGATTTGTTGTTTTCCTAGCAAACAACACAAAATGAGAAGTGACAATATGCTTGTAATACAACTCATTTACTTTCATATATTCACCTAAAATAAGTTTTTGGCATTGAGAGGATCGATGGGGAGAAAAAAGGGGACATCTGTAATACTTTCAACAATAAAGATAAATTTAAAAAGAGTTCAATGAGATTTTGCCATTTTTTGAATTTTTATAGGGTGCTCAGTTGGTTAGAGCATTGTCCTGTACACCAAAAGGGGGCACGTACAGAAGGCAACCAATCAATGCTTCTCTCTCACACATTGATGGTTCTCTCTCTCTCTCTCTCCCCCCTCTTTCCTCTCTCTGAAAAAAAATCAATTTTAAAAAAAGTACTTTTTAACAATGTACTTTTGCATTTAAAAAAATCACATAGCTGCCCGGCCGGGCATGGCTCAGCAGTTGAGGGTCGGCCTAGGATCCAGGCGATCGGGGTTCGATTCCCGGTCAGGGCACATGCCCGGGTTGTGGGCTCAATCAATGACTCTCTCATCATTGATGTTTCTATCTCTCTCCCTCTCCTTTCCTCTCTCTGAAATCAATAAAGATATATTAAAAAAAGAAATCACATAGCTTCTTCTGGACATTTCTAAATTTCATTTTTTAAAATCACAATATAGGCAAATGAGTAAAAGTTCAAGCCATACAGATACTTGTGTACAAACAATAAGTGTCCACCACCCTCTGCTTCTGTTATTAGGTCCCTCTATTCAAAGATAATCATAGTTAACTGTATCTTATATAGCCTTCCAGAAAACTTCTTATGCACATACTTATTATATGTGTGTATATGTATATCTAATTTAGACAAATAAGATCACATTATATACATTATATTTCACAATTCTGCAAGAAAATAAAGTGTATTAAAAGTTAGAGGCAGGAGAGAATGAGGATGTGAATTTAAAATAAAAAATACTGGTGATAGATATATGTACAAGAATAATCAATGACAGTTAAAAACAAAGATCAAAATACAAAACTTATAAAATGGTGAATCTACACTATTAATTATCACACACTTCTTTGGAAATATACACAGGTTAATTTCCAGTCAAGATGACATAGTAGGTGAACAGGGTACTCGAATCCTCCCACAACCACATAAAAAATACAACTAAACTATAGAATCACCATCATTCAGAATTGCCTGAAATTGAGCTGAATGGAAGTCCTATAACTAGGGAATTAAAGAAGCCACATTGAGACTGGCAGGAGGGGCGAAGACAAGGTACAGGCTGGTCCCACACCCATGTGTGGCAGTTTAAAATTGGGAGGGATATCTTGGCTGCTGAGGTCTCCCTGGTGGAGCAAGGGGTCCCAGTCCCACACCAGACCTCCTAGCCCAGGGCTCCAGTGCCAAGAAGAAAAATCCCCATAACTTCTGGCTATAGAAAAAAGCAGAAATTGTGACTGAATGAGATGGAGGGCTGCTGGAGTCCCAGCAGTTCCTCTTAAAGGGTCTGAGTATGGACTTAATTTGGACTCACTCTCTCTGACTTCTAGTACTGGGGCAGCTTGACAGGAACCAGGGATATATGGGGAGGAACTGAATTATCTGGAATCAGGGTGTGAGCTGGGGAGGGGCAGCTTTCTGCCAGACAAAAGTGCTGGCAGAGGCCATTGTTCCTTAGATGAGCTGGCAGGTGGGCACCATATCTGAGTCTCCCTCAATCTGACTCACAGTCTGCCCTGCCCTAGTCATTCCCTGAGACCCGGCCTCACCCAACTTTTGGGCCCACCCAAGCTCTTTCTGGTGGCTTTTCCATACAACTGGCATCTCCTGCCTCATGATTCAGACTTTACAAAAATCTCTCAAGCAAGCAGCATCTGGCCTCCATGTACCCACTACCTCTTGCTAAGTGGCCCCAGGCTCAGTACTAGTGGCACCCTGCCTTGGTTCACAGCTAGGCCTCTCCTGGGCATCTCCAAGCCCAACAAAAGCAGCAGCCATCTGCAGATAGCTCTGTAGCTCATGCCAGGTGGTCCCAGGCAGGGCACAGATGGTAGCTGACTTTGTACCTCCCTGGAGACCCCAGAGGCAGTGCACCTGGTGAACAGCTTTAGACCACACCAGATTATACCCTACCACCTTCATTCTAGGGGCAGACTCAGTGAGCATCAAAGTCCCATGGAAACAAGTCCTGTTCCATAGGGTCAACTTCTGCACAGCAGCTTCTCTGCTGTAGCTGCAGCGAGTCCTTGCAGCCGGCTGGCTGGGGGTCAATCCCTCCCAGTAATGCCAACAGTGATCAAGGAACTGTCCAAGAGGACAGTGCACACAGCCCACACAGGGGGGCACCTGGAGCACACATCTGGGGTGACTGGGGAGGCTGTGTCCCTGGGCCCTAGAGGACACTTACTACATAAGGCCACTCTACCAAGTCCAGGAGATGTAGCAGCTCTACCTAATAAACACAAAGATAGGGAAACAGAAAAATGCAAAGACAAAGAAACAGGTCCCAAAGGAAAGAACAGAAGAAATCTCCAGAAAAAGAACTAAATGAAATGGAAGCAAGCAAACTACCACATACAGAATTCAAAACAATGGTTATAAAGATACTCAAAGAACACAGTGAGAAGTTCAACAGCACGAAAAAGGAACATAGAAACCATAAAAAAACCATAAAAAAGAACCATTCAGAAATGAAAGATACACTAACTAAAATGAAGAATAATTTACAGAGAATCAAAAGTAGAGTAGATGATGCCAAGAATAAAATCTGCAATTTGGAATATAAGAAAGCAAAAAACACCCTATCAGAACAGCAAAATGAGGAAAACTTTTACCCCCTAGTGCAAATGTGAGAACTTTACTCACTGCAACATTTAAAAATAGAACCATCAATTTTTTAAAAAAAATTGCTCTCTCTCTAAATATATGTATATATAAAATATAAGCTAATCACCTTTGAGCAGTCACTTTAAAAATAGAGCTTTTTAAAGCATTTTAATCATGTACCAAAAAATAATTTTGACTCCTATGAACACTAATGCCTAAAAATAACAGAAGTCCTTGTAAGTATGAAAAAGCATAAGATATAGTAGAGAAAAGCAGCAGAAAGCTAAAAATAGACTCTTAAAAATATCAAGTTTAAGTTCTCTGTCCAAAATGAGTTAATATATGAAAGCAAATCACTTAATAGATGAGAAATATGATCTAGAAAACTGGCTAGTGATAAATGTATCCTTTTGATGTTCATAAATAATAAAATGCATTCCTTGTACCACAGCTTGACTGTGGTAGTGATTACATAACTATATACATTTGCCAAAACTTAATTAACTTTATGTATGCAAATTATACCTCAATGAAGCTGATTTTTAAAAACCACATTTTTTGCTAAAATTTTCAGACTATTTTATTCAATGGCTTAATCATTCAAAACAATCTGTTATATTACATAAACTTAATACAGAAAAAAATCTGTATATAGTAAAAGTGGAATCTCTTCCTTCTAAATCCCATATCACCAATACTCAATAACACTGGTTAGAAAACTCAGTCATTCTCTCTCTCACCTTTAGCTTTCAATAGGCTATCGGAGTTGTGTCAATTCTACTCTTTCTCATCCCTACTCTACTGCCAAAGTTAATTTCTTTCTGGACTACTGCAACAGATTCCTAAATTGATTTCTCTGTCTTTAATCTCCCACTTACCAATCAAACTTCTATAAAGTAAAAAAAACAAAACCTTGACCCAAAAATGTACAAAACAACAATAATGCCAACAAAAACTTATTTAAAAAGATTAAATTGCTTCAGAATGAAATGTAAAATCCATGGCACTAAAGGCACTTCAAAATTAGACCTCTTGATTAATAATAATCCCCCCTCACAAGAAGCCTGTATTTTATATCTGCCTGTAGCGCCATCTCTGCTTTTCTGTCTGTGAAAAAGGATCTACCAATCTTTAAAAATCCAGTTTAAATGTAATTTCCTCCATTCACATAATCCTAGGCAGAGGTAGGTGGTTCGGCTGTGTTCCCATTAACACTGAACATACTGTTACTTGTTAATGCCACTGTCTCTTCCTCTAGATATGAATTCCTCTAAGACAGGGTCTGAACCTTCTTCACTAAGAACAGTGCTTGGCTCATAGCAAAAATAATTTAAAATTGAGTAAGAAAGAAAGGAAGAAAGGGGGAGAGGGAGGGAGGGAAGAAAAGAAAGAAAAATAGTATTATTCACTAAATCTATTTTTACTTTGGCAAATAAAAATTAACACTTTTCTTAGATAAAAACTTAGAAGATTTGACAGTATATAAGTAGTACCTTGTCTACATGGAAAATTAAATCCAGTTCACAGACATTTTCAAAACACTTGTCTAATGTTTCCACAAATACCTAAAGAAAAAGAAAAGAGAAAAAGTTAAAAGCTTTTGAGAACTGTGTAGGTTCATTCAAATCTATTATCTACAAGGCAGACAATCTTAATTGTGAACTAAAACTTTTGTAAATCTATTATATCTTTTTTAAATTAAAAAACAGTATTAAGTGCAAAAGCAATAGTTATAAACTATTCTTCATGTAAACTACTTTTCAATACATTAATATATAAAACAAACTTTGCTGAAAATAAGAACTAGAAATTCTTAGCACCATTAGTTACAAAAGCAATGAAAAATCCTCAAATCAAGCTCCCTATCCTCATGTGAGGAAAAAAGAAAGCTTATTATAATTATTTTATCAGGCCCTGGGTGGTGTGGGTCAGTTGGTTGAGCATTGCTCAGTGCACCAAAAGGTCACTGGTTCAACTCCCAGTCAGGGCACATGCCCAGGTTTTGGGTTCAATCCCTGGTCAGGGGTATGTGTGGGAGCAACCAATTGATGGTTCTCTCTCCTCCACCCCCCTTCTTTTCGCTCTCAAGTCAATAAAAACGTACATTTTTTTTAAAAAGTATTTTATCAGGATGGACGAGCATAGTCCAAATCTCTATCACATCTAATGTAGCCAGTAATTTCTAATTAGCAAATCAGTATGAAAGATCACTAAAAATTACTTATAGAAAAATAACACACACTTTGGAATCAGACTTATTGGGTTCAAACTCTGGCTTGAATATCTTGTATGACCTTATATGAAGAAGAATTAACTCAGCAGACTTGGGTTGCTCAAGCCCTACACATTCTCCAAAATAGCCTGTTATCAGACTAGCCCTTGGCTAGCTCCTGGGACCTGAGCCCTTAGGAAGTTCTGTCTGACAAGAGTGTTTAATATGCCTGAGGCCTTAGGCCAAGCTGTATCAGTATGAGCAGACAGTTTATGCTACCAATGTGATTTATAGCAAACATCTTTTTCTCTGAGGTTCTGGAACTTAAGTAATCATACCTATGTGACTGACCCCCAATAAAAATCCTGGACACCCAGGCTAGGATGAGCTTCCCTGGTTGGGAACACTTTATACATATCATTATATATCACTTCTGGGAGAATTAAGCACATCTTGTGTAACTCCAGGGGGAAGGGACACTTGGAAGCTTGTACCTGGTTTCCATCCTACTTCTCCTCACGTGTTTTTGATTATTTTACTCTATCCTTTCACAATAAACCCTCACCATGAGCATAGCAACTTCTGAGTCCTGTGAATCCTAGCAAATCATTCAGATGGTCTTGGGGACCTCTGATACAAACTAACAAAGAATAATCTCTAAAATTCCACCTATTTGTATTTCTATTTCCACTATCCTTCTCAATAGTAGCTTTCACAGAGTAACCATTCAATTTATCATCCAAAATGGGGGTGGGGTGGTGGCATATTAAGAGTAAAAAAGAGCAGCTATTAATTATTATTATATTATTATTATAGATACAATGTTATCATAATATAATAACAGCTTGGAACCACAGATGTAAACCAGGACTGTTCCAAGTGAACTGAAATGTATGATCGCCCTATTCATAGGTGATCCAATGGGACAAAGAGCAAATTCTAAAAAGCAAGTTTCTTGCTATAACTGCTCTGTAGTAAAATGTCATAAGTACATGTTCTTAATTTAGGAAAAGAATTCCTAAGATTTAATGCACTCAAATATTAAGTTTGGTTTTAAAAAAATCAAAGAACCTCTTCAAAAAACTTTCCATTACTTTTCTTTAGATTTAGCAAAATTACTTAATATAATTAGAAATCTAGTCCCCCCAAATAGATACACACTGCCAATCTGTTACATGGACAAGGCCAATACAAAACTAATAATCTACAAACTGAAGTAACAAAAATTAAGAAAACAAATTAATGGGCCTTGGGGTTCTAGCCAGAACAACAACAACAAAATAATAAAGCTGCTATTGCACTATATTTCACAAAGAGAAAGATTTTTTTTTTTAAAGCAAAAAAATAGTAGTAAATGGTAAATAGCACCCTCTTGTGTTTCATTTTAAAAATAATATAAAGTTTAAAGTTCAGTTTCAATATAACAGTTATCTACTAAATAGTTACTCATTAATATCTGGCCTCAAAGAATTCAAAGGCTGGTGGAACAAAAATTATTTTTAATTTACTAAAAGAATTGTATTTTAAATTTTCCTGCATTTTAATAATAACTGGTTTTCCAAAAATAAATAGCTATTTAAGTCTCTGTTTCTTCATTTGGGCATAATCATGGCACCTATACCATACAGTATACCATACAGATTTTAGTGATTAAATGAATAAATATAAAAGGCTTAGAAGAGTGTTTCACACACACAAAAAAAGTACTCCATATATGTTAGCTAGTACTATACTACTATACACAATAGTTTCTTCCTGAGTTTGGGGACTTCTATTAAATTTCAGGAGGAACTAATCCTACTGTTTCTAAGCTATATTAAATGAAGTGCATAAATGTTAAACTCACATGTTGTAAGACAGAAAAAGTCTTAAGCCCAAGAATAGTAGGAATAAATTTAAGAATCCTAATAGTATGCTAAGTGATATAAAAAATTATTTTCTTAGCAGCAAGATGTTCTAGAGAGATAATTGGTTTTGCTTAAACCAAGAATCAAAAAATACCACTAAAAATGTACTAATAAAGCTAGGGAAGAGACTGAACTTAAAACCAGATCAATTACCTTTAAAGAAAAATTATGAATGTAGCCTAGGCACACTGTCCAATATATACTATTGAAAAATACTCAGAATCTTTAGGATATGACTGGATTCTGGACTGGATTTGCATTAAACCTGACCTGGATACCAATGTGCCAATGATGACAATCTTAGTAAAAATAGAGACACTTATTGTGCATTTACTACAAACACTTTAAGATATTAAACTTTCAATCTCCTTTTTTAAATCCTCACCCAAAGACATGCTTATTGATTTTAGAGAGAGGGCAAGGAGGGGGGGAGAGAGAGAGACAGAGAAATATTGATCGGTTGCCTTCTCGTACATGCCCCGACCGGTGATCGAACCTGCAACCTAGGTATGTGACCTGACTGGGAATGGAACAAACCCACAATCTTTCAGTGTACAGGATGATGCTCCAACCAACTTAGCCACACTGGCCAGAGCTAAATTTTCAATTTCAACATGAAGAATAAAGAGTTGATATTACTGATAGTAAACTGATGTTTGCTTTCTGTAGGGAGTATAAAAAAATTTTTTATATAAAAAAAAGTTGATGAAAGGACTACCTGTCTTCTATATTCATGTCATAATGATTCTGAAAGTGATCACATCAATGATTCTTTTTGTGTGATTTACTTCTCTTAGAAAAGATTAGTAATGGTAATAACTAGCACTTATTGAGCATATACTATTATGGCATTGTTATTATTCCAAGTGCTTTAAATAGATTATTTTATTCAACCCTTCACAGTAACCCCATAAGGCAGGTAATTTTATTAACAAATATTTGTAGAAGAGTAATCTAAAGCAAAAAGTTAACTATTAACACAGTCTTTATTAAATTCCAGAAAATCTCATTGAAAAACCCACATTCTTATTTATTAGGAATAATCCTTCCAACAACAGTAAAAAATAGTACTTTATTTTTCATGTAGTAAAAAGTGATTATTTAGAATATTTGGAAAACACAGAGAAGTATAAAGCAAATTTTTAACTTTCCATACTTTTTCCACCCACATTAACATAGTATTGTGCAAACCAAAGACTACTTATACTATAAGAAATTTAATTACATTGTTGCCCCTCCATTAAAGTGATTTAATATGATTTGTGCATTGGATTTAGAAGTCTCAGGAAGAACTAGGGTTTTGAGCTTATAAGGCTAATATATCAAATATTAATTTTATAAATGAAAGTAGCCTCTGATTATTTCTTTTTCTGCACAGAAGCTAACCATAACATTTTAAAAAACATACTGACATAAATTGTTAGAACTATAAGCTTCCAAGCAAAAACTTATTTTAAAAATGATATTTGGCCTTGAAAGATAGTCTACCTATAATTAAACATGGTACACTTGATGTTTTGAGTACTGCTTTAAAAAATATATAATGGCCCTCACTGGTTTGGCTCAGTGATTAGAGTGTCGGCCTGCAGACTGAAGGGTCCCAGGTTTGATTCTAGCCAAGGGCATGTACCTTGATTGCAAGCTCAATTCCCTGTCTGGGTCCGGGCACGTGTGGGAGGAAACCAATCTCTCTCTTTCTCTCTCTCTTTTTCTCATTGATGTTTCTCTCTCTCTCTAAAAAAGCAATGGAAAATATCCTTGGGTGAGGAAAAATAAAATAAAATAATAAAAAATTAAAATGAATAAAAATCTTACACAGTTTTCCCTTCCAGAATTTCGACTAATAAATACAGAAGACATGACGGAAAAAGTCACCATTTGGCAAATACCACAATAATAATTCTTTCAGGCAAGAGTTATCAATAGATTTAAAAATTAGTGACCAAAAACATGATTAGGAAAAGGATTTTTATATTCTCTAAATTATTCCCTATAAAATACTTTTAAGCACAAAGGGAAAATGGAATCTTATAGTAAACCTGACAGGCACCACCTTAAACAAGAAATCAGAATAAATATCACAAGTAATGGGACAAAAATGACATCATGTACCTCCTGATATGATGCATTAAAATGGAAGTAACATCGCTTCTGTGGTATTCTTGCCCAAAATACATAACCTGATTTAATTATTAAGAAATATCAAACAAATCCAAACTGAGGGATATTCTACAAAATATCTGGCCAGTATTCTTCAAAGAATCAAGGTATGAAAGACATGAATAAAAGATAAAATGAAGAACTACTGTATAGCAAAGGAGACTCGGGAGACATGAAAACTAAATGCAATATGCGACCTGAACTGAACTCTGAATTAAGAAAAGTTATATTAACGGGACAACTGGCAAATTTTGTATAAGGTCTTCAGGTTAGACAATAGTATTGT